TGCTCCAAGCCCCATCCAACCTGCCCTTCAACACCCCCAGGGATGGGGCAGCCACAGCTTCCCTGGGCAGCCTGGCCCAGGCTCTTGGAGTCATCACTGAGTGGTCAGCTCCATGCCTTCTCCCATCTGGAAGAAGCCCAAGACAAGGCTCTGGGAGGGCACAGTGCCATCCCGAGCCTGCTGGGCACAAAGGGAACAGTGACACACCTCTGCCCCCTTAAAGCTTGCTTACCTGGGCTGCTTTCCTGCAAGGTGTAACCTTCAGAAGACTCAGCTCAGGAAAGTGGATCTGAGCCCTGCTGGGAAGAAAGGAGGAAAGCCATAAAAGCATCCTGGTTTTAGCTGGAATAAAAGGGGTGGAAGGTGGTGGCTGCAAGGGCTGGCTCAGGGGAAGGAAGAACAGAGCTGAGAACAAGTGCTTGTGCTGGGACCTCATTTTATTGCAAACAAAATACGAAAGTTGGACAGAAGCAGCTGAGGGACCAGAGTGTCCTCTGCTCAAGGGAACACAGCAGGCCAAGTTCTGGAGGCATCCCAACCTGGCTTTCAGGTGCTCTTCCATTCCAATGGCTGTTTCCTTCAGCAGCTCAGCCACAAGCTTTTCCCAGCACTGGTAAAGCATCTTCTTGACCTGGCACCAGAAAAGGATGGTGGGCAGAGGATTTGCTCCACAGGTCTGGGCTCCAGGCAGAGCTGGGTCCCCAGCAGACCCCACCAGATCTCCTCACTCAACTTTTGGGGCAGCTGCTGGAGGTCTCTTTGCTCAGGGAAATTAATTCATAGCAGCACATAGGAATTTACCTGCACTTCTGGCAGGAAGCCACCCCATGCCCCACACACCTGAGCACAGTGGTGTAGAGATGAACCTCAAGGCCCCAAACACCAGGTCCATGTGTGGACCACCAAGGGCCCAGGCACACACCCATGGGGCTGGTGGTGGTTCCACCATGCTCTGTGGATTTGCTGCTCTTCCCACCTGGGGCTTTCCTTCAGCTGTGACCCTGCAGCAAAGAGCATGGACTTCACAGTAATACTGGTGGAATAAGTGATTCAGGCACCTTCAGGTGCAGCTGGCTCTCCAATGTCCATCCCCAGCTTGCACAAGATGTAGAAGGACTGAAGATTTATATTATTTGGTGGAATGGCCCAAACTGACATACGTTCTACTTCAGCCCATTATACAGATTCCATCATCCTCTGCTTCAGGATTGAACAAAAGTGCCAAGAGACCCACAGGGAACCACCAGACTGGTTTCTCCAAGAGCTCGAGGGCCATTAAAACACACACAAAGAGCTCAACTCTTCATCTCCACCTTGAGCTTCAGGCGGACATCGCACAGGAACACGTTCATCAGGTCCTGGCCAGCCTCCTGAGCAATCCTGCTGATAACCTTCCCTCCTCTTCCAATCAACATCATCTGTATGAAAACCCAGAGAGAAGGTCATCGTCCTCATCCTCACATTGCTTCCCTGAGGGGAGGAATCACCCAAGGAATCAACAGTGCAGCCACAGAAGGGATGAAACGGGATAAAGCAGTTAGAGGAGCCCCAAGATCAAACCACCTTCAAGAGGTGCAAGGTGGCCCTGAAGAGCCTGTGACTGCATCAGGCACCTGGCTCTTCCCAACAGACCCCACAGCTGAGGGAGAGGTGGTCACAGCAAGGACACACACAGCTGGAGCTGGGGAACCTCCTTTCTCACTCCTCAGCCCCACATTTCTCTTCTGTTACTCACCATGTGTGACTTCCTTGGGACCAAGAGGTTCTGCACGATGAGGAGTTCCCCACTTGGGCCTTCCTCCCACATCTCTGTCACCTGCAACAGCCAGAGCACACTGAGACTCTGCAAACACCCCCCCTGACTCCAGTAAATGTCGCTGCTACTTCAGTTGGACTTGATGACCTTAAAGGTATTTTCCAACCAAAACCATTCCCAATAAAATAGCTCAAAGACAAGTCTGCACGTGCTTCCCACCTGGGTCACACCATAGGGCACTTCCAGAGGCAGGTATTCCAGGATCTTCTCCCTGATGATGTTATCACAGATTTCTTGAGGTGACTGGCTGGTCAAGACCTCGCTGTGGAACTCCCACGGGCCTGGCTTGGCCTGCATCAGGAGGTACCGCTGCCAGCACAAAACACAGGGCACCCATCAGCTGTCACCAACCACTCTGGTGGTGCCACTACCCTCTCAATGTGGCCACTGGGACACTGCTGCTGGTCAGGGTGGTGGTTTCAGAAGCTTCCCTTTTTCTGGTCACCACCAAAGAAATCCAAACCCTGCCAAAGGGTAACACCTCCCCAGAGCTGTCTGTAGGAGTTACAGAAGCTCACAGGGAGCTGAGGGATAAAGGGTTGGGTGGCTTCACTGGCATGAAGAAGCTGCTGCTTGGAGACTTCCAAGAGCTCTGTGCAGGACACTCTGGAGATACCCTACAGATTTACTCCACATCAACAAACTACACTTCCCTTTTGCACCACAGACCAAGAACTGCAGTTCTTCTGTTTCCTCAGAGATGAGGCTCAGTGTGAAGGACCCGGGTCCCACAAGGGGGAGAGGGCACCAGTCTCAGAGCATAACAAAAGATCTGTTACCTTCAGTGTATCCACCTCCTCCCCATGAAGAGCTGCCAGCATGAAGATCTCCTGGAAGCCAGGCCAACCTCTCATATTTTTTAGATCTCTGGGTCCATCATACTTTGACCCTTGTGCTTCTTCTGTGAGAAGGCCAGACTCAGAAGCCCTCATGTCACTGCTGTTGTCCAAGCTGGAGGCTTCTTGCTCCTCTTTCTGCAGGCCGCCAGACTCGGGGGTCCTGCTCACAGGTGGAAAAGCCTCAGGAGTTTGAGGAGGAGCCTTTGCTGGAGAGCTGGAATTGTGTTTAAATGCAGATCTTGCTTCCAGCTTCTTGCCACCTACAATCCCCTCTGTGAGCTCACTGACCAGCTCCAGCAGGATGTATTTCTTCTTTAGCCGATCCACCTGAAGTGAGAGAAAAGGGTGAGGAATTTGTCCTAAATGAGGCTCTGGATCTGAAGGAGCCAGAAGAAACCCCCCAGGGCAGGTAGGAAAAGGCTTCTGTGACAGAACTGGACAGTTTTCCAACCAGAGGCCAAACCCCAGTGTGTCAACAGCTCCAGCACAGCTTGTCCAAACTCTGTCAACTTGACAGCGGCACCTTCCCTGTCACCCCTGCACCACATCCCCCCTGTGGTGCCAGCTCCTCTTCCCAAGCTGATTTATATTCCAACTGCTCCACAGAGCTTCAGGAATGCAGCAAACAGACACAGACACACACTGAAATCCTCTGGAGCAGAGGAAAAAAACAGTGTCCTTCAAGACAGCTGGGCTCAGTGATCTGAGAACACCAGGTTCTGTCTGGACACCAGCAGAAGGCAGGAAGGACAAGCTCCTGGGTTACCTTGTTCAGAACCAGGACACTGTGGATCTGGGGAAACTGAGAAAGAACCTTCAGCACCTCCTTGCTCAGAGAGTTTCGTGTCCAGTGATCTGACACATCCACCAACACCAGCACTGCCAGAAGAGAGGGATGGAAGGTGATCAACCTGGTTTCCTACATGTTCATGTTCTGATTCTCTACAGTCCATGGTCACCTCCCTCCTGCTGCTGCTCCTCTCTCTTCTACAGGAGAGCACAGGGATGGAACCAAAAAGGAGGGTTTTATTGATAAAACTGTATGATACAGTTTATACCTGTCATCCTAAAGACATCACACCTGCTATAACTCAACCTCCAAGCCCTGTTACTAACCCAAGCTGCCTTCCTTGGCACCAGGCAGTTCTCATCCCCACCTCAGCTCAGTATTTCCAATCTTCTCACTGCCCTTCCCTCCTCCCTCTAAGTTCCTACTCCCAAGGCTGCTTTGGTGCCCAGTAAAGACCCAGATACCTCAGCTCACGGGGTGAAAACCTCCATGGCAGATAAAGAGTTTGGTTTGATGCAAGAGGAGCTGAGCACCCACCTAAGTCTGCGTGTTTCATGCTCTCCCACGGGTCTGTCAGCATGGCCTCCTCCAGGTGGTGTCTGACAGGCAAATGCAAACGAGCAAGGCAGAGACACACTTGATCACAACCATCTTCCTTCCCGTCTCACTGGGGCAAATCCAGTGTTTTCACCACCCCAGCTGGGACAAAGCTGCCCTGGGAGCTGTGACATCCCTCCTTACACACAGACTCAAACGTGACAGGGCCCAGGGGATGCCACAGGCTCCCTGTGCTGCTGAAAGGGCAGCAAGAAAAACCTCACACACCAAAACAAAGCTAAAAATGTACAATCCTGGAAATCACTGGTTCTATCAAACCTGGACAGACAGGTCCTCTCCCTCCCCCTCACAACAGTGCTGATACCTTTTGGCTTTCAAGGGACTAGTGAGGCCAGGTGTGTCCAGAATGATCTAGAAAGATGACAGACAGATCTTGTCACTTTGTTTGCAACTTTGTGGCCAAGCTACAAGGTACATTTGTGCCATCAGAAGTGACCCCCTGGGACAAAAATGAGAAAACCCAACAGCTCCTGGCTACCCCCCCCAACAGCTCTGCAAATTTACCAGCTGTGTGTCCTCGTAGGTGACGACCCCCCGGGCCTTGCACCGGGTCGTGTGAACCTTCTTAGAGACAGGGAACACCTGTGGGGAAGGAAACATGTTACATAGCCAGAAGATGTTAAAAAAAGAAATTCTAAAAAAAGCAATTTAGCTGCCTGAAGTTCTTGCCCCACCCAAGCTTCACCTTTCTGCCCAAAAGCTGATTAGAGAGCGTGGATTTCCCAGCGTTGGGTGCCCCAATGATGGCAATTCTTAAAACCTTTGGGTTCTGGGGCTGGTCAGGCTGATCCCGTAACAGTCGCTCTTGTTCCTCTGCCAGGGGGAAGGAGAAGCTGGAATCCTGCACCGGCTCGGGATAACCCGCCCCGGAGCCCCCC